GGCATATTTTGCACATGCTAGTGATGTTGAAGTCCTTCTAGAGTAGTTTGCGTGCAATGGGGCGGAGGTGTGCCCCAAACTATAGAGCCTGCAAAGAAGAAAACCGTCGAACGTTAGAGAGGATTATAGAGGATTACATCCGTGCCGTGCCAGTTAGAAGAGCAGCAACATTTACCTAACATAGGCTGGCATATAGGGCACAACAGGTGCAGGAAGACAACAGTTGTTTGGGAAGGTAGAGGGTATATGGCCCCGTCGTCCACCACGCGGTCCGCTGGTCCGGTCCGATGTTCTTTCCGACTTTGTGGCCCAAAGAGCCCAGCGGCGGTCGGCCCAAGACTTGGCTGCGCCGTGTCTTCCTGTTTGACAAGTTCCTTGGCTTCTTTCGACCCCCAGGAGCGAAAAGAAACTGCTTTGTTGAACAAGCTGAAAAGACCATAGATGGAAAGCACTCTGCTTTCTTTGCTTCAGTTGATCGTCTTCCAGCGACCGGTCTTGCCAAAACGGCTTTCTGGTGTCTGTGTGGGACTGGGTCAGTTTCAGCTCCCCGAAAAACTGTTTCAGCTCGACCGACATGGGAGGGGTTACAACCCTTCCTTGCACCGGTCTGAGCCGATCTGTGGGTGGGGAGAACGGACCGAAAACGGACGTTCAGCGGACATTGTTGCAAGGTTCCAGATCAGATACATCAACCTCCCAAAAAACGAGACAAGAAAAAGAACGAACCTTGTCCCGGATGCCCCAAACTGTTCGGATGGGCGGATTTTTTTTGCTCCCTGTTTAAACCACACCCGCGGTGGTTTCCGGAGGGTTTCGTTTGTCGAGGGTTTCGGCGTCAGGGTTCGGCATGGACGCATTTTTGTTTTCCGAAAGTCCGCTGATCAGTGATCAGTGGATAGTGGATTATAATGAGTACTGAGTACTGCTTTGATTGACACGGTGTTGAAGCATCTCAATTTTTTCCTTCAAGCAGGACACGAGATATTTGGAATTGTTGGGCTGTGGCCATCTAACTTGCTTGGCTTAATTGAAGCCCAGCACCAGACACACAGTCGGAACATGGAAGACTCTTCTCACCGTGTTAGGTGTTGTATCATGTTTTATCACCCCAAACGCCCCGACGACCGAATTCGACCTCTCGTTTGCCCGAAGCTTCGCACGACCGAGCAGCTTCAGTCGTCCCGATGCTTCGGTCGTCTTCGTCGAATCCGAAGCGATGGTGACGGGAAACCCCGTCCGACTGTCGTCTCTCTGGACGACCACAGGTCCATGTGTGCTGACGAATGCCGCCCGGAGTAAACGACCGGAGAAACTGCCGGAGCAAGTCGACCGTGCGATCTTTTTGTGCGTTCTTTGCTGTGTGATTGAGTGTGGGTGTGTGTGCCGGTCGACGGGAGTTGAGGGGGGCATGGAGCAAGTTCAGTGGATTTACTGCATCAGATATATACTGTGAGTGGGTATTTGCGACTGTTGAAAGATGAACTCTAGTAGCACCTGGCATGGAGCATGGTCTCCCTCGATTGACAGAGTTTATTGATGGTTTTTGTATGAAGGTTATTTGTGCATAAACCATCTTGTATCAACCATACACAATAGAAATCACACTAAACCTTTTGAAATCCAATTATTTGATATTAAACATAATTGAACCAGCGAACCTCTGTTTCGCCGGTCATTGAACTTGTCTCCTTAATCTGGAACTCCCTCACTGCACCTCTCAGGAGTGAAGATGGTAGCTTTTGGGCCGGTCTCTCTCCGTGCGCGATCCCGCCCGAGCGGATTTGGATAGACACACGAGGAAGAAGTTAACCGGTTCCCGGGGCACCGGGCAAAGAAGTCCACCGGTTCCCGGGGCACAAGTGGCCAAACGAAACAAAGGCTCCGGTACAAAGGATTATGGAACCGGTACAAAGGCTCCGGTTGTGTCGCTGCCCATTTCCGAGTGTCGGGTCTTCAGGTGAGAGCTTCCAATTTCCAAGAGCATCCCAGTTGTTGACAGAGGACACTCATTACATATGGATTACCAAGTTATAGGTGGAAGCTCTGCTGCAGGACAATAACAGGATCATTGTGACACATGCCCGACATGAGCACCATTTGTCTGAGCAAACCAGGAGCCTGCTGCCCCAATCGGCACATGTGGCTCTCAAAATGGAGAATCCCCCCGCAACCCATCATTATTTACAACGTTTTACACGTTTATCCTGGGTATCCCCTCAGGTGCCAAAACACATGTAGTATAGGAGGATCTTAGTGCACCTGCCAAAAATATGCATTTGGGGGCCTGGATCAAGAACCAGCAACAGAAGTCGGTCTTGGCCCCCGAACTCGTGGTGAACCAGGAGTTGCAGGTCGACTGAGGTATTTTTTTGACCTTTGTGGGTCTGATGCTTTGTGGGAGCCAAAGATGTGCATAGTCTAGTAGACCATTCTTGAATTCTTGAACAAAAACTGAAAACAACAACAGTGGGTATATACATGGTCCTCGCTGTTCTCATCGGCACGTTCTGGAGACAAAAGGGGACCATTTTGGGCCGACCTTCCTTTCTTACTCGACCGTTTTTCTTTAGACCTTTTTTTGAAGACCATTTTGGGAAGCATCTCCACCAATTCTATTATATATGTGTATACATACTGGGCCTTCTCGTCTCCTTTAGCAGACAGCTCGTGCCAGGTATGCTTTAAGTTCATCCCTGCCGGCAGACAGCTCATCAAAGAAGGGCGAGGTCATCCTCCGCCTTCGCTGGATCCGCATCTATTGGTGGTTGATTCTGCTGCCTGGCAGTCAGGGCGGGCCCCAAAGGAGAGCGTAGGTGTGTTCTATGGAACTCCCTGCCTTTAATGGCAGAAGTGGGTGTATTGCACTTGCAGGTCCCTCTTCTTTCAAAGAGTTTTGCCAAAGAACTAACATAGAAACTGGTAGGCCATCCCTGGTAAAGGAACATCTGCTTTCACACCTCTTCCGACCGTTTGGTTGTTGAAGCAACAACAGGTACCTTTGTACATCCTGAACGACTCACCCAGTAGGTGTGACACCGGCTGCCAGACTCGGATGTATTGAGATGGACCGAAGACGGTGGCCGACCCGAGAGGTCCACTGAGAGGTCACATCTTGGCCTGTTCAAGTCGGAATGAGAAGGAGATCCCATGCAGTGACTCCGCCAAGACGAGCGAACAGACGCAGATATCCGGGGCTTTCAACATCGGTGCGGACCTCCAGGAAACCGGTGTCAGGGAAACGGACCATTGTGCATATTGGTCAAAGGGCCCGAGCTGCTTCACCTTGCTCCTCCGGTGCAAGGTGACAAGATGTCGTTCCTTTTGTTGAACATGCCGAAGAACTTGAAGACCTTAGGGTGTGCACCTCTTTCACCTCTTTTTTTAAATGCCCCGGGCCTTGAAGCCGTACGAACCAGGCTGCTGGTCTATTCGGGTGTCTTGCTGCAGTCCAACAACAACCGGGCGCTCTCCAGCGGGGTCCGCTTTGAGATCATCGAGCAGCTCTTTCCCGTCCCTCGGGTTATAAGTCCGGGAGTGTCAGTTCGGCATCAAAGCTGGGTGGCGGCCCAGGAGTCCTTTGAAAATGCTTGAGCCAGTCTCCAAATATAGGAAAAATCCAGAAAACATGAGGATTGAAGTGGGACTGGGAAGCATGGTATATAAGTGTGTGGGCAACTGCTTGGGGACACCTGTGATGGGTGACCTTTGTAGCCCAACTCCCAAGGCGAAACTCGGACGTGCCCCTGTTCCGAACGCGCGAGGTACAAACATGGAATTAGGGTTTTGGAAGGAGCATGTCCTGGAAAGAAGGACCTCCAATGTCCAACCGTCAAGTAGAGGCAGAGGAACTCCTTCAATCATCTTCAATCCCCAACTTCCATGCCCCCACGTAAGAAAAACCCAGATTCAAGTAGGCAACGTCATTTCGCGAGCATCATCGGGGAATGGGCGCTCGAATGAGGACTGGAACAAAGCTGCCGAGCGGACGCGCGATGGGGAGATCTCACCAAGCCTCAAGGACTGGTCGGGGCCTTCCGAGTGCTACACTCCTCCGACACGACCGCCTGAATCACCGGTTTGTAGAAGATTTCACGGTCATCCCAGGCGCCATGCCTTCCACATCCAGGATGATTCCAGCAAGTGTACCCCAGCTGTTCCAGATGGCTCGTGGTTTTCTGCGACGGACAAATCCATGTTTCCTCAAAAATGACCTGGGACGTTGAACACCAAGCTGCAGGTGATGAAGAGATCCAACACACACGACCTTGGAACAATGGTGACTCCCTTCCCCTTCCCCAGGAACATCATAGATAAGCAGATCCCCAAGATCACTGGAATGGATACCTCCATGACATAGGCAGGAACTGGTGAATCGGATATTTACTCCAAATCACGTACAAATTCACAGCCCCAGCCTTTGCTTTCGCCACGCCAAAGTTCAGGGCGGCGGTGCCGGTGCCGTTCCGTCGCAGCCACGTTTCGCTGAGAGTAGTGGACCATATTGACCAGCAGCATAAAGACCAGACAACACGCCGATCAAGTCGATCATTGCACGTCATTGAAGTCAATTGCCGCGAAGAAAAACACTTGAACCAAAGCCGTCTCTGCAATGATGTAATGGTCCGCAAAAAAGGAGCCTTGATCCCCTGACGCATCGGAAGGACTTGCCGGTTTTGCACATATCGGGTACAGCTCGTCGATGCTCGTTGGTTCTGCCGCGTCAGATGTTTTTCAACACTCGAACATCCTTCAAAGCGCTGGTCTTATGAGCATGCGTTTGAGCCCTCCCGAGCCAATTTGAGAAGATTGTCAGGCTGAAGAGCTTCTTTACAGATCCAGCTAGATAGTTAGTCAAGGGGCAGACTGAGAGTTGTCATTTGAAGTGCAGTAACACGAGATTCTTCCGGGGGTTCACCTTGGCGAGCTGAGCCCCTGAACGACTTCGCAAGCTTTCTGGCAAGACGGTTTGAAGTCACACTTTACACCAACATCGGGGCGTATGACGCTCCTTCCTAACCTCGCTTTCCTCGCTTTCAACTCGGCCGAAACCGCGCCCCCGGCGCGCAGCCGAACGGCGCCATGTCGGCCGTGGCGGAGTTTGTGCGGTTGCTGAGCAGGCCGCGAGTGGAGAAGAAGATGTTCAAGTGTGGCTTGGAAAAACCAGCGGCGCAGGCCGGGCTCCAGAAAACATCTATACTATACATGATTCTACATGATACCTTTGTGGATGTTGTTTGCAGTTCTTTCTTAACTCATGGTACCCCATAGACATGAGGGTTAAAGATATTTGCCATCCCACACATGCGGCGTTCCTGTGTGTGGGTGAAAGTCGCACAAATGGCCAAAACGATGCCAAACATGAAGAGAGGAGTCTCTTCAGCTGCCATGGTTTGACATCACAGCCACATGAATTGTACACGCGTAACCTTTGTCCATGGATTCACTGTATGGGGAGCATGGCATACGTGCCTTTTTGGCTGAATCCTTTGACTACGTATGTTGCGAGGTAAAGCACAAATACCATGTGGTATTTCCCTTGTCCTTTGGAAAGCAAAAGCACAGAGTTGCTTCCCCAGGCTGGTGTTCACAATTCCTGAGCCTCAGTCCTTCGGAGTGTTCGGCCGAGGCGAACAGACGGAGAGTGAATGGCAGCTGGGCAGATCTGTCTCGGCCAGGGCCGGCATAGCATAATATGATCCTTATGCTTGAGAGATCCATAGGACTTCTTGTTAGGGTTCTGATGGTGTAGGATTTTGCCCATTAACACTATATAGAGGAGCTATAGATCTATTAAGATCCATAATACAGTAGAATATGTCTTTAGAATAAACATGTCCAGTTTATGTAGAGTTGGGATGTCCGACTTAGGTGAAGCATTCCCCTTGAAAATGCTACTACTGTACTTTAGTCTTCGCACTCTATGAAGCATACTGAAGCATACTCCATAATGCTCCATAGTCACACCTCCCAGCGCGGAGAACGTGAACCAACATTCACATCCTGCAGCAGGCGTGTAGGCATGTTCCTGGCAAAAAGGTTACCTTCCAAGTTCGGGTCTCGATGAAGTGATTGACGACGACCAGCTGGTCTCTGACCCTCCAACTCGCTGGCCCGGCCCCGGCAGACCGTCCGGTGCACTCAGGGCGACCGTCTATGAACGATGGGACGTGCTTTACGCCTCTGATTGGCATTTGATGGCGAGACGAAGCTTTTGAGGAGACAAAGCAGGGGACATGCTATGAGTCAGCTTCCACTCTCAGAAATGGACCATTGAGCATCATTGAACCATATTGAACCCATATTTCTTCATGTTTTTGGTTCCCATGTTCCATGTTCCATGCTTTCTAGGGAAAAAACCGGGCTCACAGTAGCCGCCCACCGACCGAGCGGCCGAGGTCTGGGCGCTGCTGGGGACCTCCCTGCTGCTGTGGCTCTTCCGCGCCCTCTCGGAGCTAGCGAAGCCCCGCCAGCGTGGAAAAGGGACGAGTGGAGGAAGGAGTGGATGAACAGGAATGAACAAGGACAGGGAAAAGGGCGTTTGGGGAGCGTTTTCGGGATGTGTGGGGGGCCATTTTTTGGGGGAGAAAGTCCACCAAAGGGTGAATGATTGATGTTCATCCTGGTGTTGAGAAGATTAAGTGGATCACCGGTTGAATCATGATGAATTCATTTGAGCATACCCTTAGCGAGTTCCGGTGGTGGGGGAATTCCCTTCACAACGCTACACTTCGTGTGTTTGCAATCGTCTCTTGGAAACAGAATTCACAACCAACTGGAATGCCTGTCACTGGATCAACAGTTTCTGAGAATCAGGGGTTGGTGCTACCCAATGGAATTCCTTAGTTCGGACACGTCCTGACCAAAACTGGTTCAAAGGGTGTCGAAAATCCTTATCAGCCAAGAAAGTGCAACACATGTTATTTGCTATCCTCAATTTTTTTTTTATCGTTCGTTTTGGGGTCCTCAACTGGAATGAGATTCTGCAGACCCTATTCCCATGCAGGGTCCCTTTTGCTGTTCGAGGACAAAAGTCCATCAGCACCCTTCTTGATTTTGTTCGTCCATTCCTTTTCGGTCGCACGCTACAGGCCCAATTCCTATCTTCAAATCCCCAAAGCCTCTGTCTCCAGTTCTTTCCTCTCATCGTTCTGGAGTCCGGTGCTGAATCCCCCGACCCAGGGAGAAAGGTCCCGCAGTGGCCGAGGTTCCAGGTTGCCACTGTCATCTCAGACATCCTCTTCACAGTTGTAGCCCGGTGGGAAGGAGGAAGAAGAAGAAGAAGCAAGAAAGGTCACCCTGAAGCTTCAAAAGTGGAGGAAAGTCGGGGGGCAGTTTGGGTGGTTGAGAGTGGAGACCGCGACAGGTTAATGTTGGATATTCATGAAGCAGGTAAACCCTGAAACAGGTCTCATGCTCTGATTGCATGGTCCGAGCTGAGGCAGATTTGCTGCTTTGCATCTTGCTGAACGGCATCTCCTGGTATTGTGTGGTGAAGCGTTTGGGCTTTTGCGGCCGCGCGGGCTACCTGGTCTGGGCGGTCTTGTATGTCTTCCTGAACATCGGACGGCTACAGACGATCACTTGGACGGAAGTTGGGGAGCAGTGTGGTGTCCTAAGCTTTTGAAACATGTTCAGACTTAAGTGTGATTCTGAGCATGAAAAAGCTTCCTAAGTTAAGTGTGATTTGATGGTCAGACTTAATGAAGAGCAACACTCTGCATCTCTCAACCATTGGGTTGGTGGTTGCTAGTCTACTTGTGCCTTTTCCACCCCCTTGTGAGCACGGAGGCTTTTTGTTATCATCAGCCGCATCAGCCATCAAGAAAGGTGTCATCATCAGAATAACCCAGTTGGGTGTTGAAACGAACTGGCCCTGGGATAAAGACTTCCATATTTGTGGTTTCTGCTTGAAACTCCAAGACTTCCCCCAAGCCTGGCTTGGTTCTCGCTTGGTTCTTTTTGGTCTGCGCCACAGACCATTCAAGGCCGGACACGTTCGCTCTTCGAGGCTCTTCCGTGAGTCCGATGGCTAGGAGTCACTGGTATCTCTTCTACTTCTTGATGCTGATCCCAGTGGCCTGGTGCGTACGTAATGGGGGTTTGGGTGTTTGCGTTGTTTCATGAAAGGATTGAAACATGAACAGCTCTTCCGCTGGGACTTGAAGACATACCTGATGAATGTTGGATTTGGAAAGGATCACACCACGAGAATCCCAACCAATCGGATTCGGCCGCCAGATACGGGGGGGGCCGGTGAAAGGGGGCGGGGAAAGGGGGAACCGCATGAACAAGGAAGGTTGGAAATACAGAAACATCTTTAAAGATGGACGGCAAGTTGCAGACCTAAAGGGAAGTTCTGCAAGCGATACAGATTGGGTCTGCCAGGAACCGCGAAGATGCAGACCCAATCTACGTGGCGTCCGACCGTCCGACTTGAATACATGTCTTTGCTTGGCCATCACAATTGATCGTCTGCTTCCCGAAAAGAAGCCGTGCAGGCCGGCTTCATGATCTTGGCGTTGATCCAGCTCTACCGGAGCTCCCGACCCACCTTACTCACCTAGCCAGGCGGCCAGGCAAGGGTGACCGTTGCATCGGCGGCGTGGAGGGCGGCAGGGAAGTTTGGACGAGCTGGTTTGGAAACCGAAGGCCATAGAAGAGTTCTCTGAGTTCTCTCCCATAGTGATGCGGATTCCAACAGAAACTGTGGAAGAACATGAAAGAGACATTACCGTTAAATGCTGTTTCTGCTACAACCAACGACCGAACCCTAGTCACTCATTCCAGGTTTCGGTCCGCAAGAGCCTGTGGAGCCTCAACCTCATGTTCCGAAACCAACAATCCTTTCGTTCGTTCTCGTTTCGTTCGATGCATGTCCTCCGTGTCAATCCGGACGATCGGATTGACCTCGATCGACTGAACGGCGTCGACATCGATCGACTGAATGGACCGAGTTGAGGACGAGTTGGATCGGTTCAACAGGACGGTTTTTCACTTGGGATTGGCGTTTCCAAGATGAACAAGGAATGACCGAAGGTTTCCGGGATGAGCCCCCAAAGGTAGATAGCCCTTCCTGTTTCAAAGTGCATTTCCAAGAGACGTGTCGTCAGATTTCCATAGATTTGATGTTTTTTCTTCTCTCTCTCTCTCTCTGCCCTATGATCATCCCTTGAGTGAGCTAGAACAAACATGGACACCCAGAGAAGCCGGGGAGCTCTTCATCTCCATGCCTGGCCCACTAGCAGTGTCACCGGTTGAGATCTACAAAACCAGCCACGACTTGCAAGACTGGTTCTGTCATGTTCTGTCGGCTTACCTATTGATGGTTTGTTCTCGCTAACTACTCTTGTATCTCGTTGCAGGGCAAAGTCGGGTTGTTCTGTATCGTTCTGTGTTGTTCCCTTTGATGTTTTTCCTTTTAACATCCCCCACCTTGGCGTTGTTCTAGTGATGGCTCTTGAGCGGACCGTAGGCGCACACAGTGCCGCCGATGCTTCAGCCGGGTGCTCATTGCTTGAGAAAAAGTGCGACCTGCCGATTTGCAGGTCTTTTGGTTGGGGTCTTCCCACACTTGTCTGAGAGCCAAACAGTCCCGACTTCGTTTGCAGGATCGTTTTCCACATGCGGAGCACACAGTCCTGTGGCCAACCACACGGTCCTGTGGGCGACCCTTCCAACTCACGAGCCCATGGGGACGATGCACTTGGACTAGGGTGACTAGGCTTCAATATCCTCAATTCAACATGGCTAGTTTGTGCCACGGTGGCATGGAGCAAACTTTGGGTAGGTCTCGGTTCTAGAGTCTTGGGATCGGGCTGCATCACCTGAAGGTGTTGGACTTTCTATGATCAGTTTCGACAAGCTTGGAAGAACATCGGGCTGGACAAAGGGTCCATGGTTGAAGTGCCTGCACATCTGAAAATCAGCGAAATTATAGCCTGAACGTGATGAGCCCTCATTGTCACCTGCTTTTCTGCAAATTTGTATTCTCTGACCTCAACGTCGAGGTTGGAGTTGCAGCCAGGATTCCGCGGGAGGGGTTGTCCTACAGCAGGATGCTCTCGTGCCTGAACCACCCGCCCAGTAAAGTTTTATGGCCTACAGCTCTACCCCCTGACATCTTGAATCAGATCCATCCAGCCTGCAGGAGATTCTGCATGCAGACGACGTCGCTGTGACTCTGTCCCTCTACAACGACCTCTGCGCCAACCAGGTCCGGGAGGATGGTCAAGTCTGATTCGACCTGGGTTGGATGGGATGGTTGGATGGATGTTGAGGACATCCTATGAAATGCCTGGAAGCTGGGACTGAGATGGACATCCACATTTTCCACGGTTGAGCAAGCAGATCTTGAAGGATGATTTGTCTGTTTCACCGGAATGCATTGATCTGGATGCTGTCTCTGCCAGTGCTTTCCATCAATCAAGATGAACCCAGATGGTAAAGTAATATAAAATATATAATCTAAAATACTTGGAAGATATTGGAAGGAAAAAGAGGTGGCACAGAACTGCTAGCTAACTCTACTTGTATATAATAGACTGCTCAGAAAGATAGAAGATTGACAAAGTGATGTACGAATTCTCCCTGAATCCTTCCATTTCTAGCACCAACTTCAGAGTGCAACCAAACTCCACTTGGCCAGCACCACTGGACTACATCCAACGTCGTTTCCCCATCGCAGGCTTCGACTCACAGCTCGATCAAGGACCGCCACCGGAGGGTTCTGGAGAGCCCTGGAGTCGTCCGGAGCGGTGGAGCGTGCCATCCGGGTCGGAATCGGTGGGTGTCGGCCGGGCTGACAAGGGATAGTACAAGGGGTCTGTTGAGTGCACCATGAGATGGCTAAGAAGCAGTTTCTGACTATTATAAGTTGTACATTATGAGTGACTCGGAGAGCATTTTGGACCGTTTTGTGCTGCCAAAATCAGTGATTCAGTGATTAGCATTGGATGAGCAAATAGAAGTGGTCAGCAAGTGCACCCTGTCTCTGTTTTTTGGATGCTAGAAGTTCTTCGATTGATGTTGTTCTTTGGATGATGTTTGTCTTTTTGCCTTCGAGCATCTTCTTCTTAATTCTTGAGTCCCGCCTGAATGCATGGTTGGCACTTTCCCCCCTCACTACCCCCTCGGAGGGAGCGCAGTTGTGCCGCCAGATCAAGAGCAGCCCTTGGACCGGACCCAGGAAGACTCTTTTCCTCAGACAGACAGAAGGTTGGTCCACTTCCATGTTTCTTGCAGCGAAAGTTGGACCGAACGGAATCTGCGCTTCCCATACCAGCCCCTGTTCCTTTGAAGGATAGCTGGGAGTGCAAGCTCTTTGACATCACGGTCAAGCAGCTGTCAGGCACGGGGATCCGGTTGACGGGCCAAAATATCAAAATATATACTCAAGTTGCTTTTGATGACTTTGAGACCGATGCTGGCCCACACCAAGCTCCATTCGCAACAAGAGTTGACGAGCTTCCCCAAGGCTATGTCAAAGCATGTTCTACGATGATCCAGGTCTAGGCAACTAGGTATGAAGTGTTAGACTCACACTTGCCAACAAGTCCCTAAAGAACGAGATCTGTCAGATTATCCCAGCAACCGGCCGACCACGTCCGACTTCGCAGGTGAAGCCTGGGATGCCACGGTGGCCCGACTCAGTCGCGGAGTCGACGGTGTCATCGCCGAAAGCTTTGCCTAATCTTAAGGCATGGACCAACGGTTTTAAGATAGAAGGGCCCCCCAAATCCACCAGTTTCAACATGTTTCAAGTTTCTGTTGGTTGTTCCCAGCCTTTTTCTCCTTTTCTACTTGCTCCTCTTCCACTTCGGGAAAGCACGGGCCCACGCGGAGCGGGGCTGTGCCCGCCTGCCAGACCAACCGGGCGCTGCCAGACGTGGACCAGGATGCGGTGATGATCGGGAAGCGAGGCGGGTGGTGGCGGAGATGGAGGAGATGGCATGGCATGGAGTATTCGTTTTACAGCCGGTACAGCCGTGGTTTGTACTTCACTATTCTGTTCATTTTTTTGAGTTTGTTAACAGACCCGGTACAGGGTCACAGAACTCTTGGGGGGGACAATGCCAGAACTGATGATGGAGTTTGCTGGCGACTTTGCAGGTCTCGCTGCGTCTCGCCTTTTGTTTGTCAAACAAAGCTGCCTAAACCATGCCAGTCCATGTTGTTCTGTGATGTGCGATGACCCCATTGCCATTTGTTGATTAATTTATGCATATTGGCCCTTCAACCATCTTCAACTTGAATCTTCAACCGTTCAACTGACGAATGAGCTGAGGTATTCTCGAGACCAAGGCCAACAAGAACAAAACCAACAAGGCACCGTGTGGCGGGAAAGCAGGTCTCCAGTAGCTGAGTAGCGTTTTCCAGCTGTCCAGGAGGGATTCAGTCAAGGTCAAATGGGCATTTCTTTACATGCGTTTTTTGAGGGAGGGACAGCAAAACAAAGCCTTCCCGAATCATCCGTCAGGGAGGCCGACAGGTCCAGCAGAACCAGTTTCCCTCTTCAGCCAGCGGTTGATTGGGTAAGCTATGGTAAGCTATCTCGACGACGTGTGTCTGCAGTGATTAAACATTGGACACTTGTATATACTTAGTGCCATTATTGGAGCTTTCTTGGACGTCAGTGTTATCAGACTCTGATCTGGCGTTCTTATCTCTTATCTCCGGTTTACATGGCCATAGGTCAACAATTGCTCTTGTCAGCATTTGTCAGCACCATATCTGTTCAAAGACCCAAATGTTTGACTCACCAGATGTCAAATTGCGAACGATTGGAGTTCTAAACACCGCCGCGCCAACATTGACCATCGCCGTTTGCGATGCGGCATTTTCGGCGTATACCGTGTGTTCTTTTTTTCCAACTGGACCAATTCGTTTCATCCACATTCCTTTCTTCGAACCCCTTTCCCTAAACTCCCCAGCACCGCACTCGTCCTTGGTTCTTCCCTCTCGTCCTTCGCTTCAGGATCTAGCGCTGCAGCGCCGCGAGGAGGTGCGACAGATCTGCAGTGGCTTGGCGGATCGACTGACTGGAGCGGAGTATCGACGACGACTGGATTGACTCATGGCACATGTGGTTTCTTTAACCAGTGAGTCGATGGACATATTGCAAAGGTGATTGGAGTGCCAAAGAAGGTTTTCACGTGGTGGCATGTAGGCATGTAGTCTTTTCATGCCTTTTTGTATGCATGTTTTGTTGCCGTTTTTACCTTTATTGTTGAGCGGTAATTTTGTTGGAGCCACAGGAAACTGAGAAACGACAGGCTACGGTATTGGGTAAGTAGTCCCTGCTAGCCTCCATCATGGAGTGGGAAAAGCTGGAGTGGTTTGGTGAACCCCATGACCACCCTCAAATTTAACTATTGTACAGTGATAGAAAAGCCGTGTTTGGAAAACCATTCGGCTCCGCCGTGTCTTGGAATCAGGTGATGAGGTTGGGTTGAACATTTTGACCAACATAAATTCAGGTTTCAGGTGAAGAGCAAAGCAAACATCAACTAGCAAACAAGACAGTTGGAGAAAACTAGCCCAATGTGGAGCAAACTTGGAACCTGGCTTCGTAGAAGTTGGCGAAAAGACCTCTTGGGGCAACATGGGCATATTTAGGAGCGCCCACCGGACTCCCTGTCAGGAACGCGCTGACCCTGTTCCGCTCACGCTCACATTCATTGTCCTAGACCGAGCTCGGCGGATTATTGATTATTTAGTATATGTGCAAGCCAAGTGAACTAAGGAACTGAAAGTTGACCCAGGATGTCCCGCATACCATCCATATGAGTGACCGGTCGAGTCAGGCATTTGTCTCAAGATGCCAGAGGATGATTTAGATTGTTGAAGAAGATCAAAGGGCAATGAAGAGAGCAACTCCTTCATTGTTGCTTTCCATCACTGTACTGCTTTCAGTGTGCTTTGGTGGTGTCAGGGAAGGATGTAACACTTTTGCACTGCCAAAGCAGGCTAGTTCACGTGTCCAGCGTCAGCGGGAGGGTTTGGGCATTCATAGCAGTGCTGGAGAGCGGTTTGATTGGTTGGTGAACGAAACAGACCTAGTGCTTGATCCAACTCTGGAGGAAAAGCGGCTTGCGCTCTAACTCAAGGATGAAGGTGACAAGAAGGATGGAGATTGGAAGAAGGTGCTTGCCGAAGCCAACTATACTGGGTACCATCCATTAGTGTTGACTGCTGCGATGCAGGCTGCTCTCAAACAAAAGACCATACAGGACTACGAGGAAGGTTACAGAATTTACAAGAGGCTTAGCCGGCTTGGCTACATGACACTCCCCACATATGAAGTGGCAATGAAGCTCCTTGGCAAACTTGGGAAATTTGACGAAGTTGACCGCCTTTGGGATCAACTAGTTGAGTTGGACCACAGCAACCAAGTGAATGTTGAGCGGCGCCACATCGACCCGGTGATTGCTGCAGCGCGCATGCAGGCGGCCGCAGATGAGGGAGACATTCAAGGGGCAGCACGCGTGCTGGACTACATGGAGAGAAACGGAATCGCAGCCAACAAGGTGCACTTTACATCAGCTATCAATGCTTGTGTAAATGCCGCCCAGCATGATCGAGCCAAAGCGGCCCAGCGCTTTTTTGACAAAATGGTTGCAAACGACATAGTGCCTGATATTGTGGCATACTGCAGCCTGCTTCGTGCTTATCAAGGCGAATCGTCCGAGTGTTGCTTGCGTTTGATCGCAGACATGAAGGGCAGGGGCATCACGCCAAACAAAGTTTTTGCGGAGAATTTCCTATTCACCCTTTTGGGCATTCGCAAAGCCCAAAGGAAATTTACAAAGCGCAGTATGCTTTCCTCTCTCAAGCAGCGATCTGCTGCTGACCGCCAAGCAGCGAGGGCCTTTATCGACGATCTTCGAGACGAGAATATTCGCCTAACATTAGCGGGCAAAGTCATTGATGCGGCTCTTCAGGCCATTCCTTATTGAAATGCAGGTCCTGTCATATGATTGATCGTGCTGCCTTACGGAATTCCGGAGAGATAGAGGATTGATTTGTGAGCAATCGACAAAGAGCTGACTCGGTGGGCTGGGATTTAACTGCCTGGTTTTGAATGGAGGAATTATTGGTTGTTATGTCAGAAAACTAACAGGTGGAGACCCTTTTGTGTAGAATCTCTCATCGACCTGACCTTCGTGTCACCGATGAAGCTGTTACACACGGCTATGACAGATGTAACAGGTGGAGTGATGACATGGCCTTCCCCAGACGCTTTTCACGAGCCCTAGTTGGTATGTCTTGGGGTTCACCTAATTGTGCTACCCAGACTGGGCCTTCATTCGACGCCTCCAACCGGAGACTCCAGGTGGGTTGGCTTGGGACATCCTCCCGGCCAGGAGATGGGGTAACCCTGTGTTCATCGTCACAGTCTACTTGTTGAGAATCGGTTCAGGTGCAAGGCGTTTCCATCCGAGGTGACAATTTCTTCCAATCACATTTTGTCCTTGGCACGAGACCCCAGGGATGACGGGGCGTTTTGGCGCCGTGCGATGATCCGATGACGCTCGTTTGGATGGGCAGACTGTTGAACACTCAGAGGGGCGTTTTGGTCGAGTGCTCCCAAAAGAGACTAGAAGCATCTAGAAGCGCCCGAACAACGATGTGCACGCGGACCTCGTGCACACTTCTGCCATCGCGCTGGACGACAGGCAGTTGCTGGGTTGCTTGATGTAGACTGTGGATTAGATTGCAAGCCCCATATGGAGAGGTTTTACAATCCAAATGGGGTTCTATTGATCAACAGTCAACATTACCATGCTTGCCGCCCAGTTACTGGTCCCAGTTGCGTGGTAATTACATGTTGATTGCTGGGTGGTGGTTTTGGACCCTAGACCCTAATATATATATATATATATATTTTTTTTTTTTTCCAACCTTTACTTGAGATGATTGGAACCCGCTGACTTATCTTTTGTGGTTGGGGAGTTGAAACCACCAACCAGGATTCTAAAAAGTCCACCGACCCACCCGAAGGGTCCGGGAGAATCGGGGGGCCCCAAAAGGGTGCGGGCAAAGCGTTCAGGTGAATTAAACCCGTTTCCATTCCCGCCTCTCCTTTCATTGTTGGCTCTATGGTTCTATTCTTTCAACTGTTTTCTGGACTTTTCTATTCTTTGGCAGGTCGTGTAGGATGTCGAGGCATTTGGACGTCATACTTCCTGTTGCTAGTGTTCAAACCTGTTTTTAGACTTTTACTGTGAGGATGACTGACCAGTGATTCTTTTTGCGAGCTTCGAAGGACCCTCTACTTGCTACTGTTGGGATGTGACCCCTCCATGTCTCTCCGGGCGGGTTTCGGCATGTTCACTTCACTTTGGATGGTTGCAAGGATCTCAGTTCGACCAAGTCAAGAAGAGCTTACCTCACCAGGCACCGAACAAAGACCAGATAGATCCAGATAGAGCAGATAGCAGGTTAGCAGGCTCTCCTTCAATTCCTGCCTCTTGGACTCTTGGGATTTTCGGAAGAGCATGAATCTTTGCTTCAGTGCTTAGTTTGCTTGTATTTCTTTGCTCTCGGTCATGTAGCCATGCATCACTCTACGGTTTTGGTGAGGCTTTTGATTGGCCACCGGTGGGCGACCAAGGTGACGACCCTCGGGTGGTGCCCATGGGAGACTCCAAAGCGTGGCTTCGCCCGAAGAGTCTTCTCCGTCCAAAAGCAGGGCGCCGTGGGAGAGGTTCGTGTTTGCTGAGCCAGGGCTGTGGGGAAATCATGCCAAACACTCTGCCAAACAGAACCACTGCCCTTCTTGGGAGGTTCTTGGACTGCCAAACACTCCAAACACCGAGATCAGTCAACATCCCTAGTTGGTAGACGAACTAGGCGCAGCCAGGATGCTAGTATTCTGAGAAAGGAGCAAAGGAGGACGTACTTACTTGGTGCGAGTGATTTGAGCACCCAACCAGAATTGGCCGTTGTAGCTGAGCCGTGCCATGCTATCCTTGACGCCGTTTTGCTTGTTGTCACTATGATCCCTGCAACTGTCGGTTGCCTGGACACCCCCCTGTTGTATTGGGAAATCCAGGGTCTTTCCAGGGACCAGGACGTCCTCGTAACCATGATTCTTGGAGAGAGGGTACGTCCATCTCGAGTGACCGCTGAGGTTCGCTCGGGCCGTGGCGGAAGTGCATCCAGGTCTGGACGCAGCTTCTCGGCAGCGGTGAAAGCGGAACGATGAGCAGTCCAGGAGGACAAAGGTCGGTGGGTTTGTCCGATGTTCGTCTTCTGTCCAGAGTTGAAGTAAGGCCGCCAACAATTAATGTGGATTTAAGAACTCCTCTGACTCTAGCCGCTAGCCCCCCTTCTTGCCTCAGAGGCAAAGTTAAAGTAATATCTTCGAGGCTCTACAGTCTCTAGAGCAATGGTGGGTGCTAATTTTCCCGCGGTTACTGAATTGGTATGCTTATGAACCACAGCCAAATAAATTGCAACAGTCTATGTACACTTCTCAAGGGGATCATCTTATGTTAAAGTCATGTATTTGAGCTTGCTCCTGGACATCAACGACAATAGGATCTTTCTTGACGGACATCTCCATATTTTCACATCAATCTGCAGATCCATCTGTCATGAACCAACCAGGGGCCCACGCAAAACCACAATTTTGTAGCCTTTTCATGTATGGGCCCCGTGTGAGGGCCTCTGGAATAGCATTAGCAGCAGTGGCAGCAGCAGTGTTTCTGGGGGCGGGTTGGGTGTGGAATTGGCTGCGGCTGCAATTTGCAGAAACTTATTTTACTGCAAACCGTTTGCCGCAGCCATCTCTTCACATTCAGCGTACTACCGAACTTTGTCTTCTTTGTGTTTTGTTTTCTTGTTGCTTTTGAGCTAGTATTTTTCCACATGTTGAATCAGAGCCTTTTGCAATGGATCCTTTTGTTTTGGATTGTGCTTTGGAGTTCTTTTGGTACTTAGCTGCTGACCCAGGGCTGTGGGGCTGAGAAGGGCAAGCAAGCTACTCTTGTTTCTTGTGGTCCAACTGGGTTTCGGGCGGCAACCTCTTTTTTCTGGTGTTGCGCATGCGAAGCCAGAGTGACAGGTCAAAGGTACCTCCCCAAAACTGTCTTTTGACCACTTTGGACATGGCGTCTTCAAATCAGGGACACATTGGCGTCGATCCGCTTTGTTTTAGGACCGTTTTTTGTTGAGTTTTCATTGTAACATGATCTGAACGATGTCCCCTATTAGCTGCTTAGAAGGTGCTCCACATGGGCATGTGAGGAAGGTTGAGGCCTGGAGTCCTGGCTTTCAAGGAGACTGAAATCAGATCGTGGACAAGAGTTCTTGTTTGTTTGCTGGGATCGCTGGCCATTGCTCAGACTGGACCTCATGAAAAGCACAAACACGGTGAACCGATACAATACGTCCCATACAAAGCCCAAAATAACAATATATATATATATAGAATGTTGAACACTTGCTGTATACATCTATCCTTATATACATTATGTGTATACTCAGCCAGGTCTGGGTTGCTTGAGATTGGCGGCCATGAAGAGAACTTGTCACACGCTGGTGTTTTCCCTGCTTCTCTTAGTGCACTTGTGCCGAGAATGTCACAAAACGTTTGCGCTCATAAAGCAGGTCGGTTCGTACTTTCTCCGTCAGCAGTCAGGCTTAAACATTCATAGCCCTGCGTTTGAACAGAGAGACCGGGACGTGGTCTTTAGCAAAAAGGAGCTCAAGACAGAAGGCTTGGGACTTGATCCGACACAAGAGGAAAAAACACTTGCTTCACTGCTCAAAGCCGCTGGTGACGAGAAACGAGGAAAGAATGGGAAGTGGCAAGATATGTTTGCCAAGTACTCAGGGTCGAACCCAATAGTTGTCAATGCTGCAATGCAGGCGGCTCTGAAACAGAGGGACTACGACGAAGGCTTGAACATCTACTACAACAGGGTCAGATACATGACCTTGCCTACATTTTCGATAGCAATGAAACTTCTTGGAAAATGTGGGCACCTTGATGAAGTTGAAAGGCTTTGGGAAGAACTCGTTGGGCTGAATCTGGTCAACCAAGTCCTGGCTGCAGCACGCATTGATGCAGCTGCAGATGATGGAGACATGGGTGGGGCAGAATCCGTCCTGAACTACATGGTTGAAAAAGATATCGAGGCAAATGTTGTACATTTTACATCAACCATCAGGGCTTGTGCGAATGCCAAAGAGGCGGGCCGTGCAAAACAAGCCCAAAAAATGTTCGAGCAAATGGTAGCCAAAGAAATAGAACCTAATATTGTGACATACACCAACTTGCTTCGTGCTTTCCGTGACGAGCCTTCCGAATGTTGCTTGGGCTTACTGCGTGACATGAAAGACAAAGATGTCAAAGTGAATAATGTGTTTGCCGAGAATTTTCTCTTCATTTTTTTGAAAGGATTTGGAAAGGGCAGCTGGAGAAAACAAAGGGCCATTGTTGCAGACATCAGGACGCTGGATTTGGCTGACCTACAAACAGCAAAGTGCTTTGTTGACGAGCTCAGGGATGCAAATGTTTGCTTAAACAAGTCCTGCAAGAATATCGAAGCTGCCATTCGGATGGTCCTGAGAAATCAATGATTTCAGCCTGATTGATCTGGCCTCACCACAGCATGCTTTTGCATCAATGCAGCTTTCGGCATTCAGCCCATTTTGCCAGAGTAGCTTCTGCAGTTATGCCGTGCTGGTGAATGCGCGCAGCAGCAGCAATCTAAGCAAAGATTTGATTTGTGGACCAAAAAGCGTGCTCGGAGCTTAGGGCGTGCATCGCCCAGCTGAAGCTAACTTGAGTATGCAGCCACCCTTTTGTCCAATCATCAGGTGGAATTGTCCAGGTTCCTTAGCAACACGTTTTCACACATTTGCAAGTTGTCGGGTTTTCAGACCAATTGGCTCTAAGTATGATCCACTTGTTGTTTCTGGGTCAACACTGTCAACACCCAGAGAAACTTCTCTGGGTGTGGTCCATTCATCAATGAACTCTGTGGGTGTCCGAAGGCCCATTCACTCATCCACTCCCAAGCCTTGCGACGGGCTCGCCGGCTTCCTGGATGCCCTAAGATTTTTGACCAGTACCTCCTACACAACCATGGCATGGCCCGGGATGCTCAGAGACGGGCATTGCAAGACAAATGTGACATGCCACAAATTGGACGATGAGGATGGAATCTTTGTGTGCCCACGCAATCGGTTTCATTTTTCTCCTTGAAAAGATCCATCAGTGGCGACTGTTTGTTTGAGATGCGACGTGATTTGTCGCTTCATGGACTTAACCATGTGACACGGCAGGATAGGTCAGGTGCCAGGACTGATCAGGATGCAGTTGACTCTTGAGTTGGAGAAGGATGGTTCACAAAAACAGCAAAACAGCTGCTGAACCTTTTATCCCACTCACAGATGTAAGATGTGGGATAATCTGCAGAGGATGTACTCAGCCTTCTGACAGCAGACTATCATTCTATATTCAAATAAGCAGTTTCCTCCCTAGGGTTTGGAATTTTTCTTTGCTCACCTTGTGCTCAGGGGAAAATGATGAGAGTCATCGATGACATCAACCGGACAGTGAAGGAGATGTGTCTTGAAATGGAAATCGGCTGAGAGAATATCGAGTCAGAGATCCACTCCCACGGTATTTCCTTTGTCTCCCTGATCGAAGGTAGGGTTGAGCATGGCTGCTTCCTTTTTCAATCAGAAGCTAAGTTGGGATCAATCATCCAACGTACCGACTTGTCCTCTGGTCTTTGGGAACTCCATATAGATGGACAGACGTGTTGGTGCTGGTGTGTGTTTATTGTTTTACACGCTTGGGGAGCGGAGCTGTCTGTTGTTGCTGATATCATCTTTGTCGTTGTCCTCCTCCTCCTCCTCCCCCCCAGCATCATGTACCTTCTGTGTTGCAGAGGGTTGAAAGGATTCAAGGTTTTATCATCAACAAAGCGATTCGTAACCTGAATTGTTCTTTCCCCATTGGACACAAGTGTGCTATACCGGCATATTTGACGGAACAGCTGTCGTCATGCAGTTTCACATTGGGTGGGCCAGCGCATTGTTCATCACTATGGCTGCTTTGTCGATGAACGCACATTAGTTCAAGGCTTAACGGAGTGTAGTACGCTCTGCCCACGATTGGAAGTTGTAGGGAGCCTGGAAAAAAACAATGGTTTCTCTTCCAGTCGAAGTCCTGCTTCTTCAGCCAATCTCTGAGGCAAGAGGACCACGCCCAGAAAGTGTTGGACGGACTCTCCACACGAGCGCGCAAGAGTGGCCGGGTCGCAGAACGGGTCGTAGTATGGCCGGGTCGCAGGCATGGTGGGAGTCTTGAGAGGTGATGGTTTTCTACAGTGGGTTCAAAGTAGATGGCACTTTCATTGACTGAAGTGGAGCATGGATTGGGACAGCTCATTTGGAATTCAACTACGTATCTAGTACAACTCCACGAGAAATCGAGTGATTGCCTGTTGTCCAATTGGGAAAAGCCGAATGAAAGGACTGGCCTCGTTCCTGCAATCCCAGCTGTATTGGCATCGATCTTTCAGGACAGCACCGATGTGCTGTCCTGGAAAGCAGGATGTGGTCCTGTGATGACTCTTGCACACCTTTCAGGATATCAGTATGGTTTTTCTTTCACTATGGCAAACTACTCCCATTTATAGACACTATATTCACAACCAATATTGGATGGACCCCAGCTCGTTCTGATGTCCAAGGAAGACATTTGCTGACGGAGTTAAGCCCGGAGGCTCCTGGGCTTTCTTCCGTGTCATTCTCAGAAAACAGATGGTCGCGGGCAGGACTTGTATGCAGGTGAAGAGTGCACCCCGAAGATTCTCGGTGATCGCTAGAAGAATATCCACTGGTTGGTTGAAACGACCCCTTCATTTCACACACCAAGACGCCTGTGGAGGGGCTGACTTGATATGCCAAGATTCTTCGATCATGTTCAAGGTTTAGTCCATAAGTTATCATAAATACATGACAGTGGGTGTCATGCCCCCTAGTTTTGCCTCGCTTCCTCTCAGAAATGGGGATGACGACCGGCACGGCCGGGCGGGCAGGATGCGAACAGCTCGCCTGCGACGGCAGTCGCGGCGAAGGAGGGCCACTCGGCGAAGCTGTTTCAGTGGAGAAATCCGATAAGTGAACATTGAATTAAGGAATGAACCGAATAGAAGGTCATCGTCAATGAGTGACATTCATCAAGGTCATGTAACAAAAGGTCATCCGAATTCGAAGGTCATCTAATCCAAGCAATGACTTTCGTGACATCTAAATCCAAACAATGGCTTTTTCGACTCTTCGTGCACATGAGAATCTCCGACCGGGCCTGCGCGACCTGCGAACGGCCGTCCGCCGGGGGGACTCGTTCCGAGGTGACGGGGACTTCGTGCGGAATCCAAGTTGCAACAGCGCCCAGCAGCGCGAAGCCATGGAGATGGCCATGGAGGGGTGGGTCATCGAATCGCTGATGTGACCTATTTGTGTATTTTTTTGTGCGTTTTTTTGGCCAATGATTACGTACTCTGTAGTACAGAGTTCTAAATGGACAGTTGTGAATGGAATTGAGGTGACAGGTTTATGAACAACAGATGGGTGATGGGGCGGGCCAAAGAAAAGGTGCCGATCATGCAAAACGTGTGAGATCCTATTTTATCTCTTCATACCCAACTTCTTTTGGCATTGGGGCCATTCGATGATGTAGAAATCCCGAGGGTTTTACCTGGACTCTAGACTCTGTAACTATACCATGAACATCTTCGGTCAAACAAAGTTGCAGAATATCTATATAGAAAACCTCCTCCTTTGGGCCCTATAAAAACTCTCCAAAAACCTCTGTGGCACCTGCATAAATCAAAAGACCGGCGAGGCAAATCAAAGCGGAGATCTCAACGAATCAAGCCGAGGCGATGCGGTTCGATGAAGGTCTATAGTTCGTTGTGTTTTTGTGGAGAAAGAGTTGGCTGAAGCAGATAGGTATATAACGGTATATAAGCAGATTGAGCAGGTTGTTTGAGGGACGCAGTCGATTCGAGAAATTCACTCTGCCCTTCCAGTGGAACTGGGATGTTCACCAGGACAGCAACATGTTGGAAGAAGATCCCATTGCAGACCCAAGTGATCGAGGAACGGCCATATTAGTGTGCAACACAGGTGCTCCCATGACCCGTGCACATGGTTCCAAGTTTCTCTCCGCCACAACTTGGATGCTACATATGCATAACAAAAGAGCTCCCAGAACCTCATGGTAGTGAGTATATAAATACCGATTCGCATGCCGTTGCTGGAACAACATGACAAAAGTGACTTGTGTGGACTTGATGTCAGGCCATCCCCAACTCTTGCTGACTCAACCATCAGGTCTAGCAGCGAGTCTAGCAGAAAAGTTGGCACGTCTCCAGAAGACTTCTGATGGGTGCGCGATCCGCGTTCCCTTTTTCCAGGCGCCGCGGTGCATGAACACGTGACCCAGACCAAAGACCCGCAGGACGCGAGTTCCGCCAGGGTCGTGCCGGGGGCCGGGGGTGGTGTCCGCTCGGACTTGCAGGAAGCCGGACGTGACACCGGTAGTGTCCTGCAAAGTGGGTTCTACCCAGACACTCCACGTATGGTATATATATATACATAATATGCCAACATTGACCCCTAAGCCACCCCAATGTAGGCATACATGGCATACATGGAGTGTCTGGGCTAGTGCCAGTGTCATGCGTCAGGTTGGGCTTAAAATGGGCGGCCTTGCCGTATTTCGAGAGTAGTTCATAGTTCATAGAGTCTCAACATGTCTCAAATGTGCTTTCTTGCTATACAAACCTGTCATGAAAAATACCAGATACTGAACGACAGAAAAAGGAGTCCGGAAGCCTGCAAAAGGTGGACTTTCAGAAACACCCTCTGGACTCGGTCCGGGTGACTAGATCCTCTCTTTCCATCTTTGCTCGGATGTTGGGAGCCAGGTGAAAGAGAGATCCGAGAGGACAAGCCAAACCTAAGCTGCAAGCAGACGAAGTTACTGGCAAATCCTACTGTAGGCGAGATCTGGGTTGAGAAGAGACCGGTATCCTTACGGTCCGTTCCACAGATGTCGGAGATCAGTGGCACAAGAAAACAGATTTGCCCTTTCTTTAGCTATGGCCATTTGCCGGGTATGTACAATCCGCCAAGATATCAATTTGGGTTCCCATGGGTTCCCACCATGGGTTCCCACGACCATTTTCGCGGTCCGCCATGCGGGTGTGGCGTGTGGCTCTCGGCGTCTGCCAGGAGCCACAGTTCGGATCAGGCCGCTGAGTCTGTTATTGTTTTTTATAGGCAGAATGGCCGCCTCTGGCCTCTGGCTGAGGGTTTTCCCTACGTCAGATCAACACACGCGTACACACCTGCTGTGACAACACAGCAACCTGCGACAGATCCCATACCGGGTTGGAGTTCTTCTCCCCGGTGGGCAAGTGGGAAAGGAGAAGGGATGTTTGTGAACCTTTGTGGGGGAGGTGTTCTCAAGGTCTGGCCACACTCCTACAATCCACACGTATCATGAACAAGTTCTTTGGCTCCGACAACGACTCAACGACCATACAGGTCCATCTCAAAAAAGGCTTAGTGGACCCGAAGAAGTGGTTGGGTTAAAAGCGGACAGCTCCCCATGGGTTTCCCTTTTCTTCCCTTTCTTTAGGGGCTTTCAGATGACAGCGTTGGGCTCTCCTGGGGTGACCGGTGTCCGTGCACTCTGCTCGACTCGACCGATGCA